TGCAGTATGAACAGAACCTGATTTACTTTAGTCTCACTCTAGAGCTGTAGTAGTTACATATTAAAGAACAAACTTGCAGCGCTGCAGCAAATGCCTGCATCCGCCTTTCTCTGTAGTTTTGTTTATATCATTTTGCCTTGTAGTGACCTTTTTGCCTTTGTGATACCCGTGTTGTCCCTTGTTAAATATAACTGCAGCTTTGATAACAGACGGCTCTCACATGTAAATATAACCGGAGTTTTGATAACACGAACACACTCGACAGACTGCAATAGGACACAGTCTGAGTTTTGGTTTTATACTGACACTTAATTGTTCTTTGTAAATCTTGAGTATATAAAGATAAATAATGCCTGAGTGTGTGCATGCAGGAAATAACACAAAAAGCATTTTTTCCACATTTTAAATGACTAAATTACATTTTAAAAATGTGTCAAATCTTAAAAACCATCCTGAAAGTAAAGGGGTATGGGTTTTTAATAAATGTGTGTCATTTTTTTTTTTGTGTGTCAATTGTCTGATAAAGATTATTATTATAAAGATATTTTTGTGAGTTACAATTTTGTCATTATGAAAAGTGTTTATACAAAGATAAGTAAAGAAACGTCAAGAAAATATGGAAATAGACTAAATTAGGGCTACAACTAATGATTATTTTCATTATCGATTAACCTGATGATCGTTTGCTTGATAAATCGATTGGTTGTTTGGTCCATAAAATGTCAGAAAATCGTGATATATGTTGATCATTGCCCAAGATGACATACTCAAATGTTTTGTTTTGTCGACAACCCAAAGATATTCAGTTTACAGTCAAAGAGGAGCAAAGACACCAAAAATATTCACATTTGAGAAGCTGAAATCAAAGAATTTAGACATTTTACTTAGAATTAATTAGAATTAAAATGACTCAAAATGATTAATCTTTTATCAAAAATTGTGATATATTATTAATAACTGACAACTAATCGATGAGTCGACTAATTGTTGCAACTCCAAAATGAATAAAATTAATTACTAAAAACTCAAAACAAGGGGTTAGGAAGAAGTTAAATACAAGACCACAAGTAAAAAGAGAAAAACTGAGTGTATGAAAAAGAGGAAAACTAGGAAAAGGCTCTTAAAGAACAGTGGTTCCTATGGCTCCCATTATCAGGGCCCGTTAATAAATGATTCCCATGCAATGCTTTTCATCCAGCCTGAGTAATCCAATCATTAACTGCGGAGCCAAGAGGTGTTTTCCATATATCTTTCCTCTGTAATAACTTCACACCACACCATCAGTGCTGTGTGGATCTACTCGCAGGTGGAACATCTCCAAATGGAGAGGCATCATCTCCCAGCACAAATATGGCATGAAAATAATGGAGATATTCAAAATCTATTGAGCATGAGTAGCATATATTTGAATGTATGTATATTTAACCAGGAGGCCTGAAGCATTTTTTTTCAAAACCATAAAGCATTTTCTAGAGACACTCTTCTGATGTGCGTGTGTGAAGCTACAGTAGGAGCAGCACTGCAGCCCATGTGTCTGTTCAGCTTCAGTAAATTAAGGCCAACTAGTTCTGTTGAACCAACGCATGAAAGAAAACACATTCCTCTGCTGGGATCACTGATTATGTGTGTGTGTGTGTGTGTGAGAACAAGCACGGGTTCTTCCATATATGCTGGAGTGTGAGAGTCGGTGCACAGTATCAGGCCGTACTCACGTTCACACTCGTTGGCGCTGTAGGTCGTGGCCGGTCTCCATGGTAACTGGTTGTATCCAGGGCAACACTGGTCACAAGACACGCCACAGGTGTTGTGCTGACAGTCACACAGTAGCCTGTAAACAACAACAACATTATGAGTAAACAAATCAACAGACATACGGTTTAAAATTATAGCCTACAGTGATAACACACAATTAAAGTTTTATTTTGAAATCACCTCTCAATGTATTGCTTTTACACTTTGACAGACATGCATTCGCACATACTGTAATGTTTTCATTAATTCCAGGACATTACACTGACTTACATTCATTTCCTGGAGATTTACACCAACCGTAACTATAACCACTACTGGCCTAACCGTCTTCACGCTAAAATGTAATGAATTACGTTATGGGGACTTGTTTGTTTTGTCTCCAAAAGGAAGGCGAGTCCACACAATGTGTCTGTGTAAAAAGATTTATGTCGCAACAACATGAGTAATACCTATCCACACAGACACACTGGAGACACAAAAGGTTGAAATATGCCATGGTATGTACCTATCTAAGCCCATTGTGCTTTGGGTAAAACATCATGTGAACTTTTCTCAAAAGTTCACATTCCTCTTCCTTTTAACCTGCTACTGTCACTTCAAAAGAAAGAAAGAAAGAATAGTGTGACAGAGAGCGAAAAGAAAAGAGTGGAAATAGACCCCCCAACAATGAAGGAGTTAATCTTTCTCCTTCATTGACAGTGGCTGACTGCTTCACCCCGGCTTTTAATCGGATTAGCCTGTAAACCTGCGGCCCGCGGAGTGTGGCCAAAACACAGCAGGGGGAGAGAAAAAACCCTCTTAACGCTATTCTTGCGTCTCTCTGAGTCCTCTTAACCGGTCAAAGAGAGACCAAAACAGAGGACTGGAGTCAAGGGAGTGAGAAGTGTGATTAAAACGAAGGGAAAGAAATCCACTGAAAAAGCACCAAACAAATGTTATGACTGTAGTTTGATTCCAACTGTGCCTGAAGGTACAGGTGCACAAGTGTACAAACAGACACATTAAGGCAATATTTAGCTTACGTCTTCATTTTTCTGCGCTTTTGCTGACGACTCACTTCTGTAGCCACATTCCTAAAAACTCCTCTAGATGTCTCATGATTGATGATGATATGACTGAGGAAAATGCATGGAATATGCAACAGAAGTGTAACTGTTGATGACTGAAGAAAAGACAGATCTAATGGATTTCTGGCACCCTTAAATTATATTATAGGCTGTCCGCATCAATTGAGGGACTGTGGTGTTGGTTGTTAATCAGCGTTAACACCGTTTCTAATGATTTTATATGTTAACAACTGTTCCTTTTGGCTATAAATAAATAAATAGATACATCTGTTTTGTATCTTTTTTCTCTTTATCTACTTCATTTTAAATCTGTCTGGAATTCACAACTACTACTTAATTATAAAAACTTGGCAGCTGTTTTCAAAATCATTGCATGAATAAACTGAGGAGAGATAAACCGCTCGCAGATGCAAAATCATACTCGAGTTTGTCTTCATCTTGTTTATGGAGCTGTGAACTGGTGTTCATCCATATTTTGGTTGAGATCACCATGTATTTATTTATTGGGAGGTGAAAAATCTTAACGCATTAAAACAAGTTTCTATTTGAAAGGTATTTTAACCATTTAAAATGTCTGAAGATCACTTTGGAGGGCTGTTCTGCTGTGGGAGGCGAGTTCTTGCTCTCTGGTCTGTGCTGATAACGTGTCTGTGTATTGTGTTTCAACAGGCTGATTGTGTTTCCAGCTTTAACCTTTACTATCAGATCCATTCATTCAGTCTATCCCTCTCTCTCTCTCTCTCTCTCTCTCACACACAATTTAATTCACATGCTCACTCATGCATCCCTTAGCTCTCTCACCCTCCCTCTCTCATTCTCCATCCTTCTTTCCTTTTCTCCCTGGCGATTAGCTCTATTCAAGCGCTTTAGGAAATGACTTTCAATGGACAGTTTCCACCCAAATTCACTACTTCCTGGTTTCGATTAGCTTCGGTCCTGCAGCTTCCTGGTCGAAGCAGAGTAAACAAGGTCATTACTTAAGGGTTTATAAAGCTGAATTTCACACATGGTTTACGGTGTGAATTAGTACAGTATGATACAGCAATGTTCATAATCTTATAATATCAGAGTTGGTTGAAAGTTTTCCATTCTGTTTTCTAATTAATTAATTAATATCTGAATGACAAATAAAAATAAAATTACAGGAACTCTACATTGGTGAAACAACGTCAGACCAAAAGTGGTCACAGCATCGACTGGGAAGGGCTGAAAGTCATTGACAAAGAGTCAGTAGACATCCAGTGACAGAGCAAAGAAGACATTCACATCCAAATTCTTTGTTTGATTGTTTTAAAAATGGCGGCAACTGTTTGATTTTACAGTTGGATCAACTAGTCACAACGTGGGTGCTCTCAGTGAATGTAAAATAAACTGGTTTTGTCCACTGACAATTCCAATAAAGTTTAATTCTGATAAAATGACTGTGTTCTCAAATAAACGTTGACAAAGGAGAAAGGCAACGTGAACAGAAAGCAAGAAGGAAAAAAAGACGAATCCGACTGAACACACACAAATTTGACAGAAATTCTTTTCGATTGTAAATTGAGTTGCAATTTGGACTTAAACTGTGCAGTGTCTGCGCTGTGGTACTTAAGGTACTATAACCACGGGTTTCCAAAAAGCTATTAAAGAAGATACAAATATTTTTTAGCTGTCCTCTCATGCCTTTAGTGTCATATGGGAAAAGATCATCACAGAAAATGTTTGCTAATTTCAGTGTGAGGACTGTTTGATTGTAAATAAAGATAATTACTGTATTTTTAAACTTGTTTTCACATACAGTATTTTGGTGTCAAAATGACTATTATGCAGTGGTGGGTCATCCCAGGCCTTTCTCTGTGGAGTTTACATGTTTTCCCTGTGTCTGCGTGGGTTCTCTCTAGCTGCTCCGGCTTCCTCCCACCATCCAAAGACGTGCAGGCGAGGTTAACTGGTGACTAAATTGTCCCTCGTTGTGAACGTGAGGGGTGATTTGTATATGTATGGTCCTGTCATGGACTGGCGACCTGTCCAGGATGTGCCTCGCCTTTAGCTCGATGTCAGCTGAAATTGGCTCCAGCCCAACCCTGAACACAGGATAAGCTGTCGAAGATGGATGGATGACCAGTAGGTCCGTACAGTAGATGGCTGCAATGGCTGCAACATATTCCTTCTTTTTGCCACCGACAGGCTCAGACTGTTGTTAACATCATGGAAAGGATCCCTACAAATGGCGCCCAGTGACACCCTTTATTTTCAATAAGAAACAGAAGGCTCGCTCAATTGTCGCTCTGAAATCTCGTGAGATGCATGTTGTTGCAAGAAATGTAGGTTTAAAAATACAGAAATTATCCTTTAACTGCTTTTACTTTTGCTTAAATGGGATTTGTTTTACATCAGTACTTTCCCTTCTACTTAGGTTAAACTCACTTAGCAACAGTTCTTCACCCTGTGTAGGACACTCTCCTTCATAATGCAGTCTGTGTTTTGTGGCCTTTAAACATCAAACTGTTGATAAATGATAATGTCAGCAGTGCAGCTACAGGTCGAAGCATTCAGTCACCTGCTGCCTTTAAACACAGACCTCCAGTCAGCAGACCTGCTGTCATCTACAACACACCTGCGGGATATAACGACGTTAAACAAAGTGCAACATTGATGTAACGTTTCAGATTTACATTCTTTCGCTCCGACACAACCCAGACAGAGTATCTTCAAACGCAATGAGGTCAGGAGGGATTTATTTGAATTCCTTATCCCCCGTGTTCCCATTAATCAAACACCTGCGTGGAATAAGTTAAAATATATAGTAACTGCATGACTCAAGGGATACATTTGAATTTCTGAAGAATATTTGGAATTTTTTGATAAAACCTAAGACTTGCATCAGAATATTCATCCACACCCCTGATCCTTCCTTCTGATTGTTTAAAATACCAGAATTCCCCCTGAATCACATATTTATATCCATTTGAAACATCACAACTATAATTATTTAGGGAGTTACAAAGCAGAGATTATATTTGAAGAGTCCTTTAAACAGTTTGAAAGGATTCAAGTGTCAGTGATTGCTTTTTCCATTGAGGTTAATTATTCTTTTATGTGTGCAACACCCAGATGAGTCACAAATTAAACATTGTCTGTCTCCTGAAGCTCAGTTTATTCTTTGGTAAAGCCAAACAGCTGTTTCTAAAGGTGAAATCCATCCACGTCGTTTTTCTCTCTTAAAATTTTTTCTTTCACTTAAGTATGTCTGGATCGTAGCTGATTGTGATTAGCTCTCAGGATGGAAAACAGGTTTTAAAGTCAAGGTCCATTAACAACCTCTCTGCTTTCCACTCACTTCTCCCTTCCAACTCTTTCTTACCCTTTACATCTCTGTATTTTTCCTACTTTTTAAATTCTTTCAAAGAATTTGGAAGGAATGTGTGAGTTATTGTTGTTTTAGGAGGCTTTGCAACTGTGTAATAAATCTAATAACCACTTTGTTGGAGAACAAATGTAATCAGTAACATTATAAGGAAACCTGAACAGTCTTCTGTAGATTTTTTCTTTTAGTTTTTTTTAGAGTTAGTCTCTATTCCAAAAAGGAGTTTAAGTTAAAGCAGCTAAGTCAACCTATTAGCAAGCAAACTAGCCAGCTGGTGATTTTAGCAAAGGCAGTGATGCTAATATCTACATGGTAACCTTAGCTTTTATCAAGTTGCTTAACCTACACAAATGTTACAAACGCACTGGAAAAATGCTTAACTTCACAACTGTAGCCCAGACTCACTAATTTCTAACACCACCTTCATAACAGTAAAAAAATGTAGTACATAGCAAGGTTTCCTGCAATGTTTTATAGTGGCGACATCGTGCCTCGCCTGAACAAAGACCACGTCTGCTAAAATACAACACCTGTGTTTTAAACTTCAGGGAAAATGAGCAGTGACACACAACGAAAGGCCACATATTTAATTAGTGAAGCAAATGTTTAAACTGTCATCCAGTGACTACACTCATAACGAGGTGCAATAATAAACAGATC